AGACTGGAGTAATGATGCTGAAAATTCAGCTTTACATCACAGGAATAAATTACATTTTAAAATATATGAATATAATATAATTTATATATTAATATAACTCTTAATATAAAAGCACAAATGTGAAGCATATAATTTTATTAAAGCACTTACATTAATTCTTCAGTTAAAACCTCTATTATTTGAGCTGTAAAGCTGTTTAAATAATTTAAAGAGCTGTCATGATGATTTTTAAGTAGTAAAATGCAATTTCACACAGAAAAGGTTAGTTTTTGCACACTAAAATCATATTAACATGCATAATGTTTACATCATGTGGCTTTATTATTGAATCAGTGAAAATTCAGCTTTGCCATGACAGGAATAAATTATATTTTAAAATATATGTGACCCTGGAGCACAAACACAGTCTTAAGTCGCTGGGGTATATTTGTAGCAATAGCCAAAAATACATTGTATGGGACAAAATTATCGATTTTTCTGTTATGCCAAAAATGATTAGGATATTAAGTAAAGATCATGTTCCATGAAGCTATTTTGTAAATTTCCTACATTAGGATATTAATTAAAGATCATGTTCCATGAAGATATTTTGTAAATTTCCTACTGTAAATATATAAAAACTTAATTTTTGATTAGTAATATGCATTGCTAAGAAATTCATTTGGACAACTTTAAAGGTGATTTTCTCAATATTTAGATTTTTTTGCACCCTCAAGATTCCAGATTTTCTAATAGTAGTATCTCGACCAAATATTGTCATATCCTAACAAACCATGCATCAATAGAAAGCTTATTTATTCATGTGTGTATATTTATATATACATATTAAATATACAAAGTACACACACATACATTATGTAAACAAAAACTTTTATTTTGGATGCGATTAATCGCAATTAATCGTTTGACAGCACTAATATATATATATATATTGTCGCGGGGTGAATGAGAACACAGACTCGGTACTGATCGAAAGAGCCCCGGAGGGTGATTTATTTCCCACACACTGATCACACGTGCTCTGATGAATGGTGCTCGGTGCCCGTCTCAGCGTGGTGCTCGTGGGGTGAAGTGCCGTGGTGCAGAT